CACTTGCAACTTGCCGGTATTTAGGTAGATTGTACAGGGTGTAACCTGGGAATTGGTAGTACTTCAGTTTGTCATCCGAAATGTTAGCTTCCATAATTGTGAAAATGTCTACATCATAGGTTTGTAGGATTTTCTGTATTTGGATCTTTTTGTCCGGAGACATTCTTCCAGCATTCCACTGGAGGATCTGAAGACGTCGGGATTCGCTATGACGAGGGCGATTTTTCTTATAGCCTTTTTTAAAGCTAATCATAATAACTTAAAGTCAAAAACGAATGCCGAGTGATAGACTTTTTGCCGTAAGAAAATACGTTGTCCAGGGTGCACCACGTGGAGGTTAGTCTATCGCGCACCCGGAACTACGGTCATCTAAATTTTTAATTTTTACTATTTGTAAAAAATTGAAGAATGTTCAAAAAAGGTACAAAAATGGTTTTTTCCTTTAGACAGTCGCCATTTTGTAAGAAAATATAGCTAAAACTTTTCCGTAGTTCCATCAGCTGATAAATAATAAAATTTAAATTTTTTATTTTTCAGTTTTTTGTATGTTTCTAAGGTGAATAAATAATATATAAAAAAATTGATAATAAAAAATATTTTGCTTGCTTTTTTTACAGCACTTCAAAAATGACCTAAAATTCATGTCTCTAGACCAGAATACCCCCTTAAGTGAAAATATGATAAGGAGACATTATTAAACCAATGACCGCAAACTCAAACATGCGTTTGTTCTAAAATTTTAGTTTTCGCTTTTTCAAAATATTGCAATATTATGTGTCAAGAAGTAGCTATTGACATAGATGACATTTAGTCGCTGTGAATTTCCTTTTATTGATTGAATTAGCTGGACTGGGCTTTTGAGTTTTGAATATAAAGCACTATGATGATAACTATTTCATCTTTTTTCAGATTTGCCACTCTTTATACTTGGTTAAATGGTGAAAAACAATGTGCAAGCTTCAATGCAAATCTGACACCATCAGATGTCAATAAGGAGTTGAGTGAAGGAAAGTGCAAACTCATATCAGAGGCAAAACATTTCCCTGACAAAATCGAGTGAAAGCGAAACTCCACAAGCCAATTCCTTATTCACAGTCAACAAAATCTGACGTCAATAAAATATGCGCGATAACAGCTGTTTCCAATTGTAAGTGGATGTCTACTATGTTGGCAATTTAGAAGAAATTATTATAATACAAGAAGAATATTGAACAAATGAAAATAACCTAATTCGAAAAGTAGAATACAGAGTGATGGAAGAATTATTATCATTATTATTATTTCAAATGGCAGGATTTGTGATATTTACCATTAGCCCTTAAACTCTGACTTCAGCTTCCCCCAAGAGGTGGGGGGAGGTACATTTATAGCAGTTAATTGATAGCAGTTCATTAGCTGTCTTTTTGCCTCCCAGTATCTCTGGCTTTCCGTCGTTGTCTTTAGAGCTGGACATCGAATCAGGTGGGTCTTCTCCACTTCCTCCTGTAGTTAACATAGGGGGGGGGGCATGTTGGAGTCCAACAGAATTGGCATAGTACTATCCTAATATTCGTATTTAGGCAACAGAATTGGCATAGTGCTATCCTAATGGGTGTCCAGGAAACGTAATTGGCATAGTACTATCCTAATGGCCTCTATTTCTCCTTCAAAAGCAGATCTATTGTGTCCCGCTGCAGAATTATTATCATAAATTCAGGTAAATAAAGAGCGTAATTGAAATTTATTTCATGATTTTTTGACCAGTGTTCTGGGCATTTATAAAATGTACTCTGAGTGTATTTATGTTCTTATCCTCGAAAATGAATTCCAGCCTTCCATATACACACTAAGATATGATCGAATCTGAACAATCGCAAGAGTTCAAACTTATTAAAATTGGGAAAATTTGCAATACTCGAACAAGGAACTACCATTTCCCAGTATGCTAACGATCACGTCTACCGTTCCCCAAAAGAAATGCTTGTCAGCGCACAAAAGTCACATTTTGAAACTTAGGGTGACTCATTCCAACACTGTTTATTCAAAGTTTTCGCTTGGCACAATGTGGCGGAGTTATAAAAACAACTATTCCACGGTTATGAAAGCTCAGTTTTACTTTATGCAAAGTAAAAATAATTAATTTCAAAGGCTTTCAAAGAAATAGGAAGGGGTTATTTTTTACCGAAACATTTTTGAAGGGTGAAGTTTAGGTAGCTTGTTCCTGAAATTGTTGGTGCCTATGAAATTAGTCCACCATGGCTTGAACCTGTGGGAGTATTCAGCTAAATTAAAGATCACCTTAAAATTTCCCTATTTGAAGTAGCAGATATTGATCATTATGAACTATCGTTTGTTTCTTGATTCTGCCCTTCACAAACCATTTCATAATCGCCTGATATAAAGGTTATACGCCGAAATTTCGCAAATTTCTAAAGATACATTGATGACAACGATTCTATGTGTGAATTTAAAGAAGCACTAATTGGCATAAGATGGCAGTGAAAATTAGTACACTCAAAGTTCACTATATGTGATAAACGAGGTGGGGGTGTGTGAAAGGCTTACCTCCACGTGGTGCACACTGGGCAACGTATGCTCAACGGCAACAAGTCTATTAACCGGCAGTTGACTTCTCACTTCAAACTTCCATCTCCCATCTATTAACCGGCAGTTGACTTCTCACTTCAAACTTCCATCTCCCCACTGTATGCCATATTCGATCCCTACCACAGTATTCATCTTACCTTTTTTTCCAACCATTGTGTCTGTCTCTTTTGCATCTTTGAAACACTCTTCTGTTCCTCCCCCTCTCTCGAATTTTTTCACTTTGACGTTCCTTCCCCTCTATGAAGCCTGAAGGCTAATGATAACTATCATAACGTCTGCCGTTTGATATAAATAAATAAACTAGGTTAATTTTGTTTATCTTGGGTTAACGGTTTAGTTCAGTTCATTTGTAAGAGGGAAATATCGATCAATTTCTGTGGGTGGCCTTATGTTGAAATTGTTTAAAACAAGGCATGAATTTAAGTTTAGTGGGAAAAAAATAATAAATTTACCTCTATGGTCGCTACGCGCAGAGTTTTGCCTTTTATTTCCTTTTGAATTTCCTCCTTCGTTTCAGAAAACTCCTTTGTCACCACCAACTTCTCTTTGGCGTTCCAATAGCCGTACTAAAGATAGGCAAAATTTCTCCCTTTAAATTTTTGGGCGATTTGAAATATAAATTGCATTAGTGAAAGTTTTAAAATAGAGACTCTCTTCGTTTGCGCAACAAAAGAAAACAATATTTATTAGTTCAAGCCTAGCCTTTGAATTTGCAAAATATAACTGACAAAAGGGTTGAAAAATGATGCAAAACTATTTTGACAGATGGGAATAGCACAAATGAAGATTATTTATGTGAATATATGGTTCATAAACTGGTTTGCATCTACTAATTAGGGGGTCAAAAGTATGACAGAGAAAGCGATAGCCTACCTCGACATAACCATCTTTGTTTAATTCCAAAATGGAGATGTTGACATTTTTTCGATTTCCGTCTTGTCCAAACTCAATGCCTCCCGTGAACCCAGTCACCTCATTTTCTTTGACCTGTAGAGTAAATAGAAAATAGTTTTGATGTTATAGACGGTAAAATCAATAGGTCAGTGAAAAGACCTATCAATTTTTCCGATGAAACGGTAAATTTTCTATACATCTCTGAGCTCGAAAAGTGATAATCATTAAATCTTGCTATAACACCACATGATCACATTGATAATGCCATAAATTTGTCATGTTGTTAGCTAATTGTGAACAAGGCGATAGAGTTTTATCATCGCGAAATTAGATTGATTCAATAGAAGAGGGTTCTATTGATAAAAGAACCTTTGAATTAAATAATTATTGATTAGAAGATCATTGCAAGGTTAAAATAACTTATTTTTCTCTATGTCTATCGTAACTGATAAGATAAAAGCAATTCGTAGAGTTCGAGAGCATGCAAGCGGTTGTTCATGTTCAATTCAACTCCAAAATGAAACGTGAAATCTAATCCAAACGTAAGATACATGAGTTCATAACATGCATCCGAATTGTACCAAAGGATTCACGAATAAGCAGATTCTGGGAGATTAGAATTGGTAACAGTTTAGAAAGACACTTAGATCATATTAAGGTCATCATAGAAGCGTCTGGACAGGCCAATGGAACTAGTGCGATGAATTTTTTATCGATCGATAAGGTTGCTCCACAGTAGAACATTTTTTTAAAGACTTTACTCACCGATTTCATTAAGGAAATGAGCTGATGCCCGTAAGGCCAAATCTCTCCGGATCGACATGAAATTCCAGATGGGGCTTCGATTCTTCCATTCACTTCAAGCAGCTTGGAGATTCCGTAGGCAAGAATGTATAGGGTGTCTTGGATCAAAAGGTAATATGTCTGCAATTTTAAAAAAGAACACTTAGGATCAGCTTATAACTCTCACAAAAATTGCGCTAAAATTTGTGTTTAGTTGTTCCCTACGTCTTGCTGGCTATCGTGATTGAACATAGTCAACACAGTAACTGGGTCAGAATGCCTCCATAATCGAATTATATATAAAAATTCAGGCACCAAAATCGAAGGCCTTTTAATTGGCGCTTAGATTTATCACCAAGTCTCCCGATTATGGGGCCTACAACACTAATAGACAAGGTTAAAGGTAAATAAATCACAAAATGCCGGATAAACCCAACTATATTTAGGGTTATCCACTTCCTTGATTCCAAGTTTTTTCCCCTTATGATCTTTCAACACCCCCTATCAAAGGACACTCTCTTAGTTTTCCATTTCAACTTAATTGAAAACTTTACGAAACCTCAGATTTAGTAAGCCCAACCGAATTGTTTTCTTGGGTTTTTGTGCAAATATTATTAGCTTGAAACATGTTGCATCGAATTATTGATTTTTTGACACTTGGGCGATAATTAGTTCACACACGCTCGGTTTACTCAGATTCTAGTTATGCACATGCCCTAATCTATTTTGCGAAATGTATTTACTTACTGACTGATTTATAACGTGAAAGATGAAATTTTCTTCTTCATTCTAGATCAAGTCTGCGCCTGTGAGAAGCGTTCCGACAGCTACAATGGTAGGTAAGCTGCAATTACTACTCACCAAGCTTTTTCTTGAGTCAGATTTAACGCTTTCTTCTTCCGCACCTGGAATCTCGTCCATGTTTCCCGCGATAGCGTAGTTTAACGATATGTTGGGCATTAGCGAAAGAGCTGAAAAATTGGCTCCTTTATCAACCGCGAATACCTTTGGCTCCACGAACTGCAGATCCTAGAGAGATTAAAGAAGGATGATTTGAAGTACTCTAAATGCGTAGTTTTGCAGCAATTTCTAGCCACTTGCCTACCAACCTCCCTATTTTTGGCATTCCGTCAAGAAAATGAGATTGATGATAAATAACTGAAGATGAGGACTGGAGTCATAGGTGGGGAGGGAATTAATGCTAGCTGATTTAACATGCGACAATGAGCGTTAATTGTCACTACTTTGCCCTCATTTAATTAGATTAACCTGTGGTAGATGAGATGAGAAGGACAAAAGCGTTCAATCCATTGCAAATTTCAACATCACCTCCAATTCCGGATGCACTAAGAGGACTTTTACGTGTGAGTAGTACTCAATCCTCTAATTCATAAATTGGAGGAGGGGGGTGGGGTAGTTTTATAATTCTTGTCCTTCATTTAAAGAGTTAATGGAATTCAATTCTGTGGTTCAAATTACTGAATGCAAGAATAAATTCCCCTTTTATTACCATATTATATGAACGAATTAGATGGCATATTGACAGTTATCGATTTTTAGAACGCATAGAAGAATAATGAAATGTTCACAAAAGAATGCGTACCCAGTCGCAAAAGAAATAGCTGTGATATTGATCAGTCATGTTGTATTCGGATATCTAAAAATTAAACAAAAAAACAATTGAATCAACCATGAAGTAGTATTATTAGTCATCTGATTGGTAATTACTAATATCGATATTAGAAATCAAAGGTGCAACGAACTTAAAGCTCGAACAAAGGAGAAACAGTGGACAGTGGAAACTAATCAGAAGAGAGTTCAAGACCTCAAGGTGCAACGAACTTGAAGCCAACAAAGGAGAAACAGTGGACAGTGGAAACTAAAGCTCGAACAAAAGAGAAACAGTGGACAGTGGCACTCTCCGACATAGCCGACTAGCCAAGAATCAGAAACAGTGGACAGTGGCACTCTTCGATATAGCCAAAGGAGAAACAGTGGACAGTGGCACTCTCTGACATAGCTGACTGGCCAAGTTAGCCGTTTAGACTACGTACCGGACACGATTGCTTGGCAAAAAACCCTCACAAACGTACCGGACACGATTGCTTGGCAAAACACCTTCACAGAGGGGAGTATACACTCAACCCACATGCCCTCTATGTAACCTAACGATTGCTTGGCAAAACACCTTCACAGATTGGGAGTATACGAGCCGTTGCTGAGTTTAGACTACGTACTGGACAACCGTTGATGAGTTTAGACTACGTACCGAACACGATTGCCTATAAACACCTTCACAGATTGGGAGTATACACTCAACTCACATGTACACCTTCACAGATTGGGAGTATACACTCAACCCACATGGACCTTCACAGATTGGGAGTATACACTCAACCCACATGCCCCCTTCACAGATTGGGAGTATACACTCAACCCATATGCCCTTTCACAGACTGGGAGTATACACTCAACCCACATGCCCTCTGGATTGGGAGTATACACTCAACCCACATGCCCCCTATGTAGCCTTGGGAGTATACACTCAACCCACATGCCCCCTATGTAACCTTCAAGAGGAAATGGAGAAGACCCACCTGATTCGGTGTCCCACAGGAGAAAATGAAGAAGACCCACCTGATTTGGTGTCCAGCACTAAAGACAACGACGGAAACCCAGAGATACTGGGAAGCAAAAAAAAGCCAGAGATACTGGGAAGCAAGACGACGGCTAAATGAACTGCTATTAATTAACTGCTATAAATGTACCCCCCTTCATGAACGTAATTAACTGCTATAAATGTATCCCCCCCCCCTCTTGGGGTAGGAATTAACTGCTATAAATGTCCCCCCCCCCTACCCTTGGGGGAAGCTGAAGTCAAAGTTTAAGGGCTAATGATAAATATCACAAAGCCTGCCATTTGAAATAATAATAATAATATTAGAAATCAATTGCGCATTTTCCTAATAAATAGAATTGGGCGATTTAAATGAAGAAAGTTGTATTGATATCCACTTTTGTTTGGTAGTGAATTTAAAATAAAATTAGCAGCTTTGAAGTCGAAATTATATTAGTATATATATATATATATATATATATATATATACTCTTTTACCAAATGAAAAAAATTCACGTTCAAAAATTCAAATTTTACGCTTCATCATCTCCACTGCAGAAATTGCTTTTCTGGAATGTTCAGTACTTACTGACTGGTCTTTTCACTCCACTTTTTATTATTTTCAATTTATTTTGGGGGAAAATATTTTTTGGTTCAAGCATTTATCGGTTTACAACTTTAATACTGCCCGACAGAGATACGTTAGGTGGGTTTAAGTTAAGTTATATGCTTCCTCTAAATGCCCATAGTTCAACGCGTACTATTACGATTTTTTCCACGATTTACGATTTCTCATTTTTTGATACTTAGGAAGAGTAAAATCTGCTGCATTCAAGGCTAATTTAAAATTTGGTCTCATCAAAAGTGGAATGTCCATTTCAATTCACTCCCGAACGAAAAGATCGAATTAGGAGAAAGTTACTCCAGCACCTGGAATGCCTTGATTTGAACCTAGTATTTTGTTGTCCATGACAATGTTGCAACAGCAAAGCCCATGAGGTATTTTGAGGATCGTAATTTTTTATCTTAGAAAACTTTCTCAGTTTTGAAATAAAGTTATTCCATTAATGCTTCACTTTCGACGTTGTAACTGCTAAACAAAGGAATGTTTTCCTAGGGTACCGTAATTAGCACAATTTTCGAAAAATATTGCATTTTTTTGCAGAATTCGAGCAAATAGTGTGGTAAATAGTTTTAAAAATCTGTGGAAACTTTCCCGTTGGGTAGTCTGATCTATTTGTGTATATGTATACGCCTTCATGATGGCATCTTCAGTGACAATGGAAATTATTTCAGAAATATAATAATTGAGATTTCTTGATTCAATCTCATTTCCTTTCCCACGTTTGCCAACAGCTTTATTAAAAAAACAAATTGAACCAACATTTAAAAGGTAGACTTATCTCTTTCATAGTGCTTCGAATGTTATGCAATGAAAGCACTCACACATGAACCTCAATTGCTGTTTTCTGAATTCCTCGATCTATCCTCTCTTTCACAACATTCGATCCAAGCTCAAACGTCTAATCCCTTCCCTGGATCTTCTTTGTTCCCTTGACGGGTCCTACCAGTGCCCTCTGATCGATTTTGACCATTCATCAAGACCGGTGTAGAGTATTTCTTTAAAGTATCTTACCGCATTCACTATCCTCGTTCATGACTGGGGCTAATGTAATGACCAATCGTATACTTACTAATTAGGCTGCGATTTGAACGCAAGTAGTTGTTTTAGATATTTATCAGTAAACAGACAGATAGAGCCGAATTCAATGGGTTTTTTTCGTAGCCTCAATAAGCAACCACCCACGAGACGTATCCTCTCTCACTCAACACTTCAAAGGCGGTCAAATTATTACAGGATCATTTCTAACTTAATGATAATCCGCGTGGAAGACCAATAAATATCTTCTATTTGATGGCAAAACTCGTTATTCTCGAAGGGCTTCATCTCGGTAGTAAAGGCAATATATGGATGGAAGGTGTGGAACAAAAAATGCCAAATAGATGGTAATTGGTCAAACACTTTTATGACATTGTCTGGAAGCCTGCAAAATTCTACTGCGTTTCTTAATAAGAACTCACCAATCGAAGGAAACCTTCCACTTCTGCAGCTGAGATATCAACAACAAAGTGGCTCTGCGATCGGGTTGTCCTGAAATACTTTATAATGTACTTGTGCGTCAGGTCCGCTTTATTCCACTTGCGAAAAATTAAATGACCTTGAAATCGAGAGAAGAGCTGCTTGTACTTCACCAGACCTAACAGAAAAAAGCGTCAAAGATGTTGTTCTAAAGAGCCGGAAGATGTGCAAGAGAAAAATAAAAGGTGGCAAAAAACTGGCTCAAGACCAATATAATGTGATTTTTTCAATTTTCAAGTTCTGTGTGGATCTGGTTTGTTGTTAACACTTAATACTCTGACCGAACCCTTCATCTCCGGACGCTTCTATTGTTCAAATTCAATTCCGTCTCCACTTCCATGAGCCCTCGGACTCTATCAGTCACACAAGCCAAAAGGTGTTCGAAATAAATTTCAATAAAATAGCTAAAATTGTCCTTAAAAATGTCACTTTTAAAGGCACCAACGCACACAAAAATTTAGTTGACATTGTCTGTTTGCCAAAGCTTGGCAAATAAACCTTTCTCTCGAGCAAATAAACAGTATATATTGGCAAATACTTAATTAAACATTCATTGATCTTTGTTATGTTGTTTTTGGCGATAGAAAACTCTCCAGTCTTTGAGCAACTTTCACTTTAACTAAATTATCAATATTGCATGCACTTTCCATGTATCTTAATAACTTTCAAAATTTATTTCATAGATTAATTTAGTGATATCTGAGTCATTGCATTACTAATGAACCTCCATGGAAATTCGCTAAGCTATCGTCTTTCTATTTTTCTGAATTCTGTTCTCATATTAAGCCAACGAGACGTTGCTGATGGTGATGCAATCAATTAAAAATAGTCAGCTTGAGGAATATTGATAGCAAGACGTTTTAAGGTGGGAAAATGGATCTGGCCTAACCTTTGCTAGTTGGAACAGGAAATTAATCAAAGGTATACCACGTGCCTGCAGAGGCAAGGTAGAAAATCGGTCAATTAGATTTTAACCTTCCTTCCCATTCGCTCCCCATTCCGGATGGAGAATGTGCCACAGTCCCTACTGCTGTTACTCTTACCAGAAATCTTCGAAATTGGATGCAAATCGACGCAAAAAATTTCCCCCCCTTTACTCTCATTGTGGGGTGTGCGATAGACTTACCTCCACGTGATGCACCCTGGGCAACGTGTACTCATATGGCAAAAAGGTCTATTAACCGGCAGTTGACTTCTGACTTCAAACTACCATGACCCCACTGCATGTCATATTCGACCACTTCCACAGTACTCATCTCACCTTTCGTCTTCCTTTGTGTCTGTCTCTTTTACATCTTTGAAACGTTCTTCTGTTCCTCCCCCCTCTCGACTTTTTTCATTTTGATGTTCCTTCCCCTCTGTGAAGCCTGAAGTCAACTAAAGGGCTAATGATAACTATCAAAACGCCTGCCATTTGATATAAATAAAACTCCCCATTGTTCTTTCTATTAGAACCCACGGAAACGAATTGAATAAAGACTTGAGGTTCGTATTAATTTTATTTAGTGTTACTTAAAATCGATAGAATTTCTCGAACGTTCATCAGCAGTTAAGTAATTCCAACTTTGAAAGTGGTTACTGATTGCAAATAAGCTATCTCTTTAAGATTTCCCTACATTTCTGATGCCATTAACTGTTTACATTGATTTGCATTTCAAACTCAAGACCACGGTATCT